CAGCTGAGGACTCTAGATTCATGGAAAGAGAAAGACTGTATGCTGGTGGCCAGGAGACAGGCTTACAGAATGTGCCCTTTGGTTGCTTAAGTGATTATATATTCCTGAGTGTATTTTTGTACATCCCCTGTCCCCCAAAATCCAGAGGGAATGGAAGCAAATATTGTTGAATGATGATGCACGAAGGATATTGTAACCATTGCAATGAAACGATGAGTGTAAAGTTGATGTTCTCCCATGTAAACTGTCACTCAATTCACAATAAAAGCTTAAAAACAAAAAAAAAAAATCCCCCGTGGAACGTAGTTCTGCTCAGGCACATATGGGGGTCACTGTGAGTCAGAGTCAACGTGGTGGTAACTGGCTGCTTACTCAGTCTGATGATGGCTCAGTGTATGGTGAGGCCTGAGCCAAGTGCAATCAAGAGCTGGCATCCAGGGGAATGGGTGTTGGGTATCTGGATGTAGAGGTGGAGGTGTAAAGCCCTCTTGGGCACAAAACTGACCATGTGCCTTTGTCCTCTGTCTTGTTGACGTGAACTTGGAAAACTATTAAAATGGGGCTGTAAAACTAGCAGGAGAAATGGAAATTGAAGTGGGGCAGGCAGGTCTGAGGCAACTGTCCTGGGAGGGAGTGATGAGGTGGTTTGTGCTGCTCTTCAAGCTATTCCTTAGGGAAAATTGAGGAAAAGGTGGAAGCAGTTTACAAAACAAAGGCACCACATCCTACTGAGGTAAAGCCCAGCAGCACTTAAAAAATTCTATTGCATTTGGAACTGGAACGGAATTAATAAAAATGTTGACACATTGTGAAAAACAGAACTAATACCGCTGAATAACTTGTGCAAAAATTGTTGAATGGGAATTGAATTTGCTGTGTAAATGCTTATTGAAATCACAATAAAATGAAAAATCAAAACTATAGAGACAAAAAAAATTGTATTGCATAAATTTGCATGATCATTTTTTAAATTAAGAGAATTAAAGAAAACACAAATTAAGTTACTAAAAATCCCCTTACCTATCAACTACCATTGATAATATTTTCATGTATCTTTTTATAGGCTTTTTTCATTTGCATCTATTCATATATAGATGAATAACTGGAGTCTAAGGAGCCCTGGTGTGGTGCTGTGGGTTAATGCGCCAGACTGCTAAACCATTTGAACTGCAAGGTTGGCGGTTCAAGCTCACCAGCTGCTCCTTGGAAACCCTATACAGGGTCGCTATGGGTCGGAACTGACTCAACAGCACTTCACAACAACAACAACAATGATAGATAAATGGAGTCTTGGTGTAGCACTGGACTGAAAAGTCGGTTTGAACCACAAAGTTGGTGGTTCAAGTTCACCATCTGCTCCCCGGAAACCTTATACAGGGTTACTATGGGTTGGAATCAACTAAACAGCACTTACCAACAACAACAGCATCTATCTATATGTAATTTAAAATGGGATTATTTTCTAATTTGTGGTTCCATAACTCCCATTTTTTTATACTGTGTGTGTCTTTCCCTGTCAGTGAATAGAAATTGAAGTTATATTAAAGTGTCTATAGAGAAGTCTTTTGTGTGTCCTTTCCGTAAATGCAACCAGGGTCACAACTTTCGACCTATTAGTTCCAGTGTCCTTAATGCAAAATGTCTGAAAGTCTGTGACCTCTCAGCCAGCTTACACAGTAATTGTAGGTAAAGGGCATGCCTTCTACTGGCAGGTCACCCCAGGGGCAAACACCTGTTGGCTGCTGAATTTGGCAGTGAAGAGGAGGAGGCCATGGGTTACACCATGCATCTATCATTGAGCTGTTGACCTAACCTCGCCACCAGCCCGGCTTTAGAGCACAAATATTGGTATTTTCAAGACTCTTGTTATCTCTATTACAGTTGAATTGGCATGACACTTAGGTTTTTAGATACTTTTCACGTATGTTGTCATACAAATCTTGGGATGGCTAGTACTTCTGTTTTGCAATTGAGGAAACTGAGGTTATAGAATGAAGAAAACTTCATTCTATACCGTGTTGCCTCTTTGCTTAACTTAACTGGATGACTTAAATATATATATATATATATACTAACTTGGGCATTAGTATCTGCAACATTTCTTTTAGGTACCAGTGTCATAGGAAATAGGGTAAACTTTATTTTTTCTTAAGTGGAAGAATTGGTAGCTGTTTCGAAAAACAAACTTGATATCCATTTTTTTCTTGGGGTGAGTTATGATGATGCTTAACTAACTAGGTTTTCTGGTAATTTTTAAGTTAATTTAAAAATTCCAACATTGAAAGTACTTGGAAGGAAGATCTGGTGGTCTCCTTCTGAAAAACCATTGGAAACCCCATGGAGCATAGTTCTGCTCGGGCACATATGGGGTCACTGTGAGTCAGAGTCCACATGATGGTAACTGGCTGCTTACTCAGTCTGATGATGGCTCAGTGTATAGTGAGGCGTGAGCCAAGTGCAATCAAGAGCTGGCATCCAGGGGATGGGTATTGGGTATCTGGACGTAGACGGTGGAGGTGTAAAGAATCTGTAAAAAAAAAAAAAAAAAATTGTATTACAACTGTATCACAACTTCTCAACTGGCTTTTAAAAAATCTAGTTTGAGAATATATATACACAGCAAAACATACTAATTCATCGGCGGGCTTTTTTTTTTTTTCTTTTTAATTTTTTATTGTGAATTGAGTGAAAGTTTACAGAGCAGATCATCAGTTTTACATTCAACAAATCATATCTTTGCTTTATTATATGCTTGCAATCCACTCCATGTACCAACAGTTAACAGCATTTACCTCTACTCACTTTAACCTCTGCATTCCTCCCTGTGTCTCCCGCCACCCTCATCTTTCCTCTGCCAACCTCACTCTGGTTGTGTATTACCTGCCTTGTCACCCATGTCACTGTATGTCTACCCTCTAGCACATGTATCATTTCCTCGTCCCCCCAAAACCATCATAGTTTCTTTTATCAAGAAAAACCTCCTCATTTTTTTTTCGTTGATGTGCAAAAACAGACATCAAACCAACCAGCCAACCACGCAGGGATATATAATCGCTTCAACAACCACAGGGCACATTCTGAAAGCCAGTCTCCTGGCTTTCTCTCTCCAGGAGTCTAGAGTCCTCAGCTGCTCAGTCTCTCCCAGCCATCCCCTCTGCCATCGCAGGTTTTTAAGTGTGCAACAACCCCCACTTTCCACATGTACGTTTTTATAGGTTGTTTTCATCAAGGGAGACCACCCAGAGGAGCCTCAAAAGAAAGACTTAATGATTTACTTCCAAAAGGATGAGCCATTGAAAAGCCCGTGGAGCACAGTTTTTCTACTCCGACACACATGGGGTCGCCATGATTTGGAGTTGGTTTGAGAGCAGTAGAGCAGTTCACACTAAAGGAAGGACTGTTTATACTTTTCTTTCTTTCTCCTTATCTTCTGGGTCTTCAGCTACGACAGAGATTCCACCTTCAACGTGTTTGTGGGTAAAGGACAGCTGATTGCAGGGATGGACCAAGCGCTGGTCGGGATGTGTGTAAATGAGAGGCGTTTCGTGAAGATTCCCCCAAAACTCGCCTATGGAAGTGATGGCGTTTGTAAGTTTTTGTCTTGTGTTTGTAAACACATCTGTGGGAACAATCAGAGCATTTGCAAGCTGTTTAGTCAGACAGACTAGAGAATTTTGGAAGGTTGAAGCTAGGGAAAATGAGAAGCAATGATACACACACAGCTAGAATTTCCATTTCAGGCTTTTTTTTTCTCCTGGATATGAAAGGTGTGTTGGATGCTTCCTTTATTGGGAGAATTTTGTTTTTGCTCTTCTGTCAATTTCATTTGGAGGAAAGAAGGAGGGAGCATGACTCCCTTCTGGAATTCCATACCTGTGATCCAGTTGAACCCTTTTGGCCTCCCTTCCACTTGGCACTATCCTAGGCATTCAAATGCCTGGCCTGACAGGCAGTAACTTCACAGTGTGAACTTTCTTTATTTTCCAGCTGGTGTGATTCCCCCAGATTCAGTGCTTCATTTTGATGTTCTTTTGATGGATATTTGGAATTCTGAAGACCAAGTTGAGATTCACACTTATTTCAAGCCCCCTAGTTGCCCACGGACCACCCAGGTGTCCGATTTTGTAAGGTACCACTACAATGGAACGTTCTTGGATGGGACACTGTTTGATTCTAGGTAAGTCTCACCGTTCATGGTTGTATCGGGGAAGTGCCTGCTAGTTTTTTCTTTCTTGCCTGCTTATTTATCCTATGGAGAAGCTAGAAGCAGGGTTTTGCCAACATTGCTCAGTAACAAACTCCTTTACTTTGGCCAAAATTTTAATGCATCTAAGAGTAATCTGAGAGCCAATGTCAGTTTAAATTACAGTATTTTGTGACCTCATCATTACATGAAGGACCTTTTTGTAGGTGGTGGTGGTGGTTATGTGCTGTAGAGTCCGTTCTGACTCATGTGACCCTATATAGGGTTTCCGATGCTGTAAATCTTTATGGGAGTAGAAATAGAAAGCTTTATCTTTCTCCCACAGAACAGCTGGTAGCTTTGAACTGCTAACCTTGAGGTTAGCAACCCAACTCGTAATCATTATGCTATCAGAATTCCTTTCTTTGTTGTTGTTGTTAAGTTCCATCGAGTCATTTCTGACCCATAGTGACCCTGTATAGGGTTTCATTGGAGCAGCTGGTGAGCTTGAACCCACCAACCTTTCAGTTCAAACTGACTTTGCAGTCCAGCGCATTAATCCACAGCACCACACCAGGATTTGTTCTGGTTCTTTTTTATTGTTTCTTCATGGAAAGAGGAGAAAAAGGATGAATGTGTATGAAATATGGAGAAATAATTGGGGGAGAAACGTGGAGGTTGGAGGTTGAGTGCTGAGCTGGATAACAGTGAAAGAAACTTTTGAGTTGTTTTTTCATTATACTGTGTTTGCTTAGATGGACTAGCAGGCCTATGTTTTGTGAATCATTATGGTTTAATTTCATGCTTTTCATTTCTTCATAAACTTGAAAATGTCTGCTTTGTGTTTGGAGCAACTGTAAATACCTCTCTAATGATGTATGCTGGCTCAGTGTTTAGCTGAGAATTGTGTAACTAAAACTTTATAAAGTAATGAGTTGGCAACACTATCATGGTATGGGACTTTTCCCCTTTTTCATTGGTTCTCAGTCACAATCGCATGAAAACTTACGACACATACGTGGGCATTGGCTGGCTGATTCCTGGAATGGACAAGGGGCTGCTGGGGATGTGTGTGGGAGAGAAGCGCATCATCACCATTCCCCCTTTTCTGGCCTATGGGGAACATGGAGACGGTAAGCCCTGCTCTCTGGGAGCCACTCTTATCTGTCCTTATTTTTAATGCAGTGATAAATTCAGCTGGCACTCAAGAAAACCCACTAGCTTTTATGGTTGTCCCTGTTAAGTGCTGTCAAGTCAGTTTCACTACATAATGACCCTGGATAGCGTTTCTGAGGAGCGGCTGGTGGGCTTGAACCACTGACCTTGTGGTTAGCAATCAAGTGCTTATCCTATAGCAGTACACCAGGACCTTAGACTTTATGGTTAGACTTGTCCAATATGGTAACCACTAGCCACATGTGGTTATTTGCATTTAAATTATAATTAAATAAAACTTAAAATTAAGTTATTTGGTCATAGTGCTACATTTCAATAGGCACGTGGAGCTAAGGACAGCACAGATACAGAACATTTCCACCACTGCAGACAGTTTTATTGGACAGTGATTGTCTAGGTCATCTGATGGTTGAGTTGCAGAAGTTGCTCCTTAGGAATGGTTATCAACAAGATCCAATGCTAAGTATGCCTTTCAGTCAAATTGGTAGGTAAGTTGGAACAAGTGCATTCTTATTAGCTACCTTACTATAGGGCAAGAAAAGGCTCCATGGCTTTCCCATGATTTTAAAGCTGTACATGTAACAAGTAAAGGTGATGATGATGAAGAATTTGTTGTAAGTAAAGATTGGTTCTGTCATTTTGAAGTGAGGGCAAATTTACATAGCATTAAAGGGTAAGTATGCGTTGTCTGTAAGTCAGGCATTCATAACCCGAGAATGCCTGTATTGGCATTCAGAATAAACCCTCTCCTCTGCCTCACTAGCGATGCTTTTGAACACCATCCACTCTGGACTGCGTTTTCCCATCTGTAAATTGAAATTTGAGCTAGACATTTTGCAGGTTGTTAACATTAAAATTGTAGCCATATAATGTCCATCCTCTTTTTCCCTGGTTTGGTCCATCATGGTAGGTTTATCTGTGACATTAGCTTCGTGAGGACAAATGAAAAGTATAATGTTAGAAAATCCACTAAGTAGAATTACTGTGGAGGAAAAGTTAACTGATAAGTAGAATTTGTTGGTTATTATCTATATTTGAATTTCAGTCACATTTAATCACACTGACAGGTAGATAACAAGGAGACCTTCAGACATCCACATTCTGTTGGATCACCTTTCTTGGTAGCGGACACTAATATGGGTCTCTTCCAATTGGTGGGCCAGGTAGCTATCTTCCAAAGTCTTGTTCTAGATGAGTGAGCACTTAAAGCATTGCATCACATTGTTGGAAGGTCTCAATTGGCATTCCGTCAATTCCTGGAGCCTTGTTTTTAAACTCCAATGCCTTCAGAGCTGCTTGGACTTCTTTCGATACCATAGGTTCTTGATCATTACTACCTCCTGAAATCATTGAACATTGTCCATTTCTTTTGTTCTTTTGATGCTACTTGCATTATTCAGTATTTTGCCAATAGAATCCTTCTCTTGAAACTCAAGTCTCAAATGTTGTCATCAATTCTTTCAGCTTGAGAAATGATTAGTGTTTTCATCCCTTTTGGTTTTCTAACTTCAGTTCTTTATACACATTTCATTTTAATACTTTGTCTTCTCAAGCCACCTTTTCAAATCTTCTGTTCAGTTCTTTTACTTCATCATTCCTTCTGGTTCTTTAGCTTCTCTGCCTTCAAAAGCAAGTTTCAGAGTCTCTTCCGACATTCACTTTGATCTTTTCTTTCTTTGCTGTCTTTGTAATAAGCTTTTGCTTTCTTGTATGATGTTCTTGATGCTATTTCACAACTCGTTGGTCTTCAGTCTTTAGTGTTCAAATCTCATGATGGTTTCTAAGTTCAGGTGAGAAACACTCAAGGTCTTACTTTGGCTTTTGTGGGCTTGTTTTAATTTTCTTCAGCTTCATTTTGAACAGTTGATGCTTTTTATCTGCAGTTGTCCCTTGGTCTTGTTCTGACTGATAATATTGAGCTTCTCCATTGTCTCTTGCCACAAATGTAGTCCAGTTTGATTCTTGTGTATTTTATCCAAGGAAATCCCTGTGAGTAGTTGCTATTTATATACTTGAAAAAGGGTATTTACAAGGTTATTTGTCTTGCACAATTTTATCATGCAATCTCCAGTGTTGTTTGTATCACCAAGGCCATATTTTCTGTTGTTTCTTCTTTGTTTCTAACTTTTGCATTCCATTTGCCAGTAATCATCAATGTATTTTGATTGCAGGTTTCATCAATTTCGTATTGCAGAAGTTGGTGAAAAGTCTAACATTTCTTCATCTTTGCATTAGTGGTTGATGTGTAAGTTTGAATAATAGTCATTTTAATTGGTCTTTCTTATAAACATTTGGGGAGTCTCGGTGTGGTGCTGTAGGATAAGGTCACTGATTCAAACTCACCAGCTGCTCCTAGGAAACCCTGTACAGGGTCGCTATGACTCAGAACCAACTCAACAGCACTTAACAACAACAACAACATAAGCATTTGGATATTATCCTGTTGCTGACAGTGTTATACTTCAGGATAGATCTTGGAATGTTCTTTTTGACAATGAATGCAATGCCATTCCTCTTCGTTTTGTCATTACTGGCCTAATAGACTTATGATTATCTGATTCAGAATGGCCGAAACCAGTCCATTTCACATCACTAATTCCTACAGGTAATCTATCTTTAAGTGTTCCATTTAATTTGTGACAACTTCCAATTTTCTTAGATTCATATTTCATACATCCCATGCTCTGATTATTGGTGGATGTTTGCAGCTACTTCTTGTTTCTTCTCATCTTGAGAAGAAGGACTTGATAGTATAATTCCAAAAAAAATGTCCATTGAAGATGTTATGATTAGTGACCAAACAGTGTCTGATATAATGCTGGGAGATGAGCCTCTCGGGTCAGACTGCTCTCAAATTATTACTCACAGTAGAGTCATCCATAATTATGGTGTAAAGCTTTCAAGACCTTCATTTGTTGATATGGAATGACTCGGAATTTGACTTATAGTGACCCTCTAATATGTTTTTGCAGCTGTGTTTCAGGGCTGTGTAAAGCAGAAGGAGAGGGATTGATTGAAGGTGTCTCCATCTTCTCTCTTTCTGCAGAGGAGGGTTCCTTGCTAAAAGAAAAATAAAATGTGAAAAACATAGCCCTAAATGTGTGCTAATTCCCCCTTTCCTGAGGCATAACAAGTTGCTGTTGAGCCAACTCCAACACATGGTAGCCCCATGTGTCTCAGAATGGAACCATGCTTCATAATTCATTGTCTGATTCTTTTTGGAAGTAAATCACCAAATTTTTCTTCCAGAGCACCTCTGAGTAAACTTGAATTTCCAATCTTTTGTGTAGCAACTGAGCATGTTAACGGTCTCACTGTCTTCTGTGGCTACTGTGAAGGACATTGACTCAACAGTAGCAGCAACAACAACCAGATACTTTTTGATGGCAGCCCTACGTGCCTCATGGTTAAGAACTGGGTTAATAACTGAAATGTTGGTGGTTAGAATTCACCCAGTGTCTCCACAGGAGAAAAGACCCAGTGATCTGTTCCTGTAAAGATTACAGCCTAGGAAACCCTAGGAGGCAACTCTACTCTGTCCTATAAAGTTGCTATGAAATGGAATTGACTCAACAACACACAATGACAACATACTTATTGATGCTTAGATTATCCCATCCTTGCCCAGTGGAATTTTATTCTCTTTGGCTCCTGAGTCCTTTGACCTCACCCAATGCATACTTTTTTTTTTTTGCATAACAAAGCCTTTAAAAATGTTTTAAGGAAATGGTTAACAGAGGCCAAAGACTCTGCCCACATAAAAGTTTTTTGTTTTTTTTATAGAAAGTAGTGTACCTCGGAAACCCTACATAGGGTTACTATGACTTGGAACCAACTTGACAGCATTTAACAACAACAAAGTGTGAGCAAAAACATCAAATACCAGGGAAAACTGAGAAAGTTAATACCTTTGGAAATTTCCAGTGTCCCAACAAAAATTAACAAGACACACAATGAACAGAGACTCAATGGTTCATCCAAACGAGCATGATAAATGTAAATATAATACAGTAACATTAAACATATGTATAATTAAAGAACTAAGGGAAAATATAAATCAAGAACTATAAAAAATAAGGAAAATAATGTAAGTGCAAAATGAGGATCTAAGACAAGAGATATTGCAACTGAATTGGACAATAATTGAAATGAGAAACACAATAGAAGAACTTAACAACAGATTTGATCAAGCGGAAGAAAGAATCAGTGAATTAGAGGATGGGGAGTTTTAAATTACAGATGTTGTAGAACAACATGAACAAAGGTTCAAGAAGGCTGAACACACTTTAATGGACTTATGGGACACCAACAAAGAGACCTAATATATGCATCATGGAAATTCTAGAAGAGAGAGGGACAGAAAGAATGTTTGAAGAAATAATGGCAAAAAAATCCCCCAATCTAGCAAAGGACATTCATCTACAAATCCAAGAAGCTCAAAGAGCATTAAGCAGGATAAGCCCAAAGAGATTAATACCAAGACACACCATAGGTGTAATGCCCAGATTTCGGGGTCCCCAAAGACCACCAAGGAGCCGATGCCGATGCAAATACACAAGGGTTGTTTATTCAAGCTCGAGCTCGGGCCCCATCTGCATCCAACGCAGCAGACTAGGGATGGAGGCCCCGAACTCCTAGTCAGCGGGGAGTTTTTATAGAGGTTACAAGCAAGCTCAGGGGTTTTCAGCTTAGCTACTCCTGGATTGGTTTACATTTTGCAAGGTATGGGATGTTACAATCTGATTGGTCATTACTGGCAGCCTGAGCTGCTGGGTTAGGGAAAGAGAAAACATACATCATCCGGCCTTGAGTTGTCAGCTGTTTGCTAGGAGTGGAAGGCTATTCTCATGCAGCACGAGCTGACTTGGCACATTCCTGGAACAGGAGGACGTGCTCCAGCCAAAGTACAAAATGGAGCCTTTTCTCTTTGGTCTCACAATAGGTAGATTCTCAAAAC